CACATTGAACGAACTCATTGAGTTTCCTGATCTCACTGAGTTGCACTGTACAAATATAATCGATATCTTATTTTTAATATAATTAGAAAAAAATAAGTATTGACAAGAAATAATAATCTAATACATTAAAGTCGTGGATAACTGCTAATTTGAAAAAGTTACATGATATTCGTTAAGCTTATAAAATATACGTGTCATCTGTACGGACGTTACGATACATCTAAACAATGCTAAACTAAAGTACAAATTACGAGTTAAAGCACAAATAACACAGATATTGAAGAGAGGAAAAACTCAGTTATTTTCAAATAAAAAGTCATATGCTTCGTTTAATGAATCCGTGTCTGATACTTTAATGTATTAGATTATTATTTCTTGTCAACACTTATTTTTTATAATTATGTTAACAATAAGATATCGATTATATTTGTACAGTGAGTTAGGAAATTCAATGAGTTCGTTCAATGTGCATTGAAAAGAAAGCTGGATCGAAACGTATGTATAAGACATTAGAACTAATAAACCTTATTACGCATCGACATCCTATGTTTGGCTCCAAAAGGCATCAAATGGATTAAAGATTCATCTATAATCTATAATGAGCCTATCTACTAATATTTAATTCATATTATATTTTACAGAATTTTCTTAATGCTTAAATCGATTCTTAATTAAATACTTTTGAATTGATTGATTACTAAGTATTTTAAAATTGAAATAATTGCACTTCTCAAATCAGTGAGAAAATATTTCCTCTCAATATCTTCTAAATTAGAATATTAACTTCTTTGGATTATAATATCAGTAACGCGATTGATCCATATGTCATCGAAATTACGAAAGTATACTAAAAATTCGGCCTCCTCTAAAATAACTGTCATGTCGAGAGGATTAATGACTCATAACAGCGTCCTCGGGGTCTTGGTGTCGCACCTTCGAGGTATCAGAGAGATACCAGGCGTAAATCTGAGCTCGCCATTACCCAAAGTCCACGGTTATCAACGGATGGCCCCGATCATTTCCGGAGTCACTTCCTACAACGAGTATATCCGTGCGGGTGGGGCACAGATTTTTTTCCATATGGCGTATATAAAAACGAGAACGACCCGAGTGGTTACGTATCATTCGCGCTCGTATGTCGCGTGACTGTAAAGGTATCTAAAGGTACCTAGACTTCGTATTCCGTGATACTTCTTACTTGATCCGATTGAATGTTGATCATGCCGTGTGGACTATTAGCCACCCTCGTGTGGACGCTTCTCGTCGTGACGTCGTTGACGTTTGCGTGGCCGAGCTTTCGTCGTCGGGATATCTTCGACAACGCCGTGGACGGTCCTGGTGGATTGATCGCTCATCTGCAGAGTTTTGGCAGTTCACTCTATAGATACCCGAGCAATGAAACTGGATCGAAGGTGGCACAGTGGCGCGAGGATATGGATGTAAATCCGGAGGAGTTGGGCGAGTACGTGGAAGGAGACATCCTGTTTCCGTCGAACGTTGGAAGAAACGGTCTTGCAGCGGTCTCCGCCCGGTGGCCCAACGGCGTCATTCCCTTCATAATTAGCCCTTATTTCAGTTGAGTAATTTCGACAATCAGACACTCTATATATAATTATATACAATTTTTTGAAATACACAATCTTCCAAATATTTTCTAAAGATGTTAAAGCATATGTGAGGATCACTTAATAATTTTCGTGTATTTGTTAAAGTGATGAAAATTAATCCCGAACATAAATGACTCATCATGTATAGTTTAAGGACCGGAAAATCATTATGTGTACTAAGTTAATTATATTGCATTATATTAAATCGGAAATTATAATTAACATAACTTATGTTAATTATGATTTCCCATTCAACAATAATTATAATATAACATACTATGACAGTTATATAAAAAAATGTAATTAACGGCTTCCAAGAAACACACTAAGTTAAGAGAAAATCAAAATGACTTATTTTGATTATTACTTTTTGATGACTCATTTAAAGTCAAAATAATGATTTTTTTGTTACAAGCATTTGACTGTTTACTAACGTTAAAAATCAAAATAAAGTCATTTTTATTCTTTTGCGATTTTTAAGAGTTAAATTAGTGTTTGCTGGGTTGAGCAATTCTTGAAAGGTCTCTCCTTTATCATTTAAGACCGCTATATTTTTGTCCTTTCATTCGTATCGCAGACGCACAGCAGCAGAAAGTTATATACGACGCAATGGACGACTATCACAAGTACACGTGCATCAGATTTAAGCCGTACACGGGAGAGGAAAGCGATTACGTCAGAATCACAGCCGGTAACACCGGATGCTGGAGCAGCGTGGGTAGGATCGGTGGCCGGCAGGACATAAACCTTCAGGTTCCCGGTTGCCTGACGCAGAAGGGCACGGTGATACACGAGCTGATGCACGCCGTTGGCTTTTTGCACGAGCACAGCAGACACGAGCGGGACGATTACGTGGATATTTTGTGGGACAATATCGCGAACGGTGTGTACTCGCATCCCACTCACAAACAATAAAACTGTCTAAAAGAAAATATAATCATGAGGTCCAACGTTCTTTTGACATACTTTCTCGCGTCGCTTTGGTTTTTTATATCTTATCTATTATTTTTTAAAACTAAAGAATCTTGAAAATTGATTATTTCTAATGAAGATTGAACTGAAAATCGTTTTGTCTATAACATTAATATTGATAATATTATAATATTAATATTAATAGTATTTAATATTATTCAGTAATAACTGACATAATAATTTAAATAACATGCTGTTTATTTAGCATTGGTTTTTTACTTATATGATTTGTGAAATGTTCTTTATAGTAAGGTGACGTTTTAACGTCAGCAAGATCTCATTAAAACGTTATTTTATTGCTTGGGTTATAGCATGAGAATTGCCTCATTAATAATGTCTTCAATATTAAATATGAGCGATTCTTTGTATCGTAAAATTTTAAATTGACTTTTTATACGCAGCACGTTGCGACAGCAAAATGCTATTATTAGTTAAAAATTGTTCGTGAGGTTTTACTGATTGAAACGCACTTGCAATCAGTTCTCGAAATTTTGAATGACATTTTGTTGTCGCAATGTGCTACGCATGAAAAGTCAACTTTTACAGTCATCGGTCTAATAACCGGCCGAGGTTATCTCTTTCGCATAAAATTATATTTTTATGAAATTCTGTTTTTATCACGTGCGTTATGCATGTAGGTCACGCGCACAATTTTAATAAGGCTCCCCCGGAGATCACCCATGCCTTTGGAGTCGGTTATGATTATGATAGCGTGATGCACTACTCGTCGACAGCATTCTCCAAGAACTATCAATTAAAAACTATCGTACCCAAGGTAGGCAATTCTTATAAACATTGTCATATGTGTTGCATATATTGCCAATGTTTTATCATTAATTATATTACACGAATAGTTTTATTACTGGACGGAGCTTATGCATACAAGAGTTATTGAATTTGCCAGTATAATAAAAAAGAAAGTACATTTTGCGAGTTTGCGAATTATGAAAACTATGTTATATTGTATTGTATACGTATATGTTTGTATGTGTCCGTAGAGACAACTGAACGGTGGAATATTGGATATTATTGGCGGAATTTTCCAAGGAAATAGCAAGATAAAGCTCGGTCAGAGGGAGGGCTTCAGCAAGAAGGACATTCTGAAAATCAGGAGGATGTACAGATGCAGCAAACTGGCATAATCAACTACAATGACTATTAGTACTGATGAAGGAATACTGGTTTAGCAACGTCTTCGCACGTGTTAATACAAATAAAAAAAAAAGAAATATTTGATTAGAGAATTAATTACCTAATAAGAATCTTTCCGTAAAAAAAGAGCATCTAGTCTTATGTGCAAAGGATACGATTATTTTTTTTATAGACGATATGTGAACAATTAGTATAAACAGTATTATATGTTAATATAATTATTAATCATATATCTTAATATTATGAATGTGTACCTATCTTATAAGTTACATAATACAATATACAAATGCATCATCATTTCTTACTGAATTTTTTAATCCTCCTTTGTTAATCAAATATTAATGGAATATCAAAATTTATGAGCAAAGGTAGAGAAAACATACTGAATCGATTGATAAAGAAAACATTACGTAATTCGTACTGATAAAATATATTCAAATAGATGAACTATATATCGTGATAAAATATTTATTATTGATATATTATTTTAAACGTATTTTTACAGTATAATAACAAAATTTCTTGCTAAATTAATTTTTGTAGAAGAATAGATAAATATGGCAATCGAATGATATATTTCTTTATCTGTATTTCAAATATTCATTAAAAGTTATACGAGGGTTGTTTGAAAAGTTTTGAACCTCAACATAAAAATGACATTATTTGTCAAAACCATTCTGGCACTACAATCGTACATTAAATTAGTATAAAGGCTATGTTAGTCAGCGCTGTTATCAGTGAGCAAATTAAATTAAAATTATTTTATTACAAAAAATCTTGATCATACATAAATAAATTTCAAAACGTACGTTTCGGTTCAATTTCGAACCATCAGTCGTGAACCTCTCATGACAATATTAAGAACTAAATTATTATAATTTAATTTAATTTGTTATTTTATTTATATAAAGGCTATGTGAGTCAGCGCGGTCATCAGGGCGCAAATTAAATTATAATTATAAGTGAGCCTTTATACTAATTTATTGTTTTGAATTTGAGGAGTCCATATATTAATATTTTAATTGTTACAATCGTACAGTTTTGCAAGATACTTGTGAAAATTGTAGCCATTTTAAACGCTCAATTATTGTTTGAGAGTCATTTGTGCCAGTCGATGTCAGTAGGTGCTTTCCATTTGATGACACAAGTCGACATAAGTGTCATTCTATCTTTGTCACTCCCTGAATGTCAAGAAGGATAGAACGACGTTTTTGTCGACTTGGGTTGACTTGTGTCATCAAATAGAAAGCACCCAGTGTTTTTGTTTGATGAAAATCTGTGTCCTCCGAACCTTTACGCCTAGGAAACAGGAAAAAGTTATTGGGGATCAGATCTGTTGAATACGGTGGGTAGTTAATTAATTTGAACCGCAATTCGTAAATTTTTGTTATGACGATCGTCAATATTCGGTTGTATCCATTTTTACAAAAACGTGACATCGACTGGCACAAATGACTCTCAAACAACTACTGAGCGTCCAAAATGGCTACAATTTTCACAGGTATCTCGCAAAACATGTACGATTGTAGAATGGTTTTTGATAAGTATTTGAAATATAGATAAATATGGCAATCATTCAATTGTTATATTTATCTATATTTCTATAAAAATAAATCTAGCAAGAAATTTGCTGAGATAATATCAAAGATAATTATATCATGAAGATATCGTTTTCGGAGAAAAGATAATGTCAATGTCGTGTCCGACTTTTTAAACGTTTCCGATAATACAAACATAATTAAACGCAAACTTATTTTATTCACCTGTTCAAACTTCCCAAATTGTTTAAGATATTATAATAAAAAGATATTAAAAATTTATTTTTCCGTACATATAAAACTCTTCGTTTTTATGTTAGAAACTGTTGTTGTACTTTCTGTTTACTATATAAATTTTTGTTTTATAATATTATAATATTATAATTAAGGAGGTTCTCGCGTTTGACGAAATATAAGACAAGTCTATAATATACAAGTCTATGTAATACAAATGTTAATAATATCTATAATATCTAGAAAAATTTTCATTGACTCTTATCGTACTATTTTGAAGATATTTAATTCTAAATTTATAGAATTTTACATTACAAAATTAAGATACTTGCGTATAAGACAGCAATTAAAAAATTGTTATAATTATAAAGTAAACACTTAGGCTCAGTTTCACAAACTCTTAACCGAGGTTCAACTTATTTCTCATCTTTTTCCAATTCTAGAATTGAAAAGAGATAATGAATAAGTTGAACCTCGCGATTAAGAGTTAACCGTCAGTTGTGAAACTAGGCCTTAAGTTTGTTCCCGTAAAGTTTCATTTAAACTGACCGTATAGTTTACAAGAAATTTATATTTTTCAATGAAGAAAGCTAAAATATATGTCAAATGGATGATGCATATACATCAAATGAGCATCTTGCAACTTTTATTTTATCATTTTGAAAATATTTAGTAACATATAAAATTAACAATAATTATGTATAATGGCATAAGATATTGTAGCAATTTTTTTATTCCATTATTTTAATTATTTTACGTATTGTTATGAATAAACTGTCTAGCGCTAGAACCCCCTTAATTATAATTTGATAAAAAAGTAATTGTGAATTACACTCATCATAAATATCAAACACTTACAGATATTATACGTTAACAAAAATCTATCTACAAAAATCAAGATCGAATAAAATGTACTAAACACGATAAGATCGTTTAATTGAATACTTAAGTTAATCAAAGAAAGACTGATCGTAATCAGCAAGTTTGTGAATGGCATCTTTAGTACGATATCTATTGGGGCCACCTGAAATTAGATAGAAGGGACAGAAAATTTTTGAGATAAAATATATAAAAAGGGAAACGATATAAAACTCTATTACCGCATTCGCTTTCGTCGTCACTATATAGTTAAATCAGTAACTTACTGATTTAACATTGATCATGTCGGGTCTACCATCAGCGTGGACGCTTGTCGCTCTTACAACATTTGTGTCGGCGGTTCCAATCTCTGACGTAGAAGATACCTTACAAGTGGCCCTGACAATTCCGGACAACGAAACGGGAGTTAAAGTATCACAATGGACCGTAAATATGAACGTAAATCCTGAAGAATTGGGCAACTATTTGGAAGGAGACATCATGATCGCAAAAGGCTTCACACGAAACGGTGCGAATGATGAAAGTCTTCGTTGGTCTAATGGCGTTATTCCTTACGTAATCATGGGTAACTTCGGTAAGTATTTCGAAAATTCAGCCATTCTAACGATCAATTTGTTTATTCACCAATCCAATTATTCCACAATGTGTTGTAAGTAATTATACGGGAGAGATCCAATTTAACAAGTATTAATCTTTTATGAAATTATTTATCAATAAATAAAACATAAAATAAAGAGTGCATTTGTAGTTCCGCATTAATAGATTATGTACAATGTGCAATCTTTTGTGCATACAATATTTTATAAGAACATAAGTGTTGTACAAGAATATTATATCTATTTTTTTATTTCAATGTACAATAAAAAATGTATATATTATAAAATATTATATTTTTTAGAATAAGATAAAAAAATCTCTTTATACATTTGATGTTGTTCATTTAGCTTATAAGTTACATTTCAAAATATCCAGGATTAAAACATGTTGCAGACATTAATTTATTTTCAGAATATCTATCAATTACCCCATTCTTAGCAATATATTAAAATAAAATAAGGTAATAATGCATTTATCATTATTAAATTATTTTATGATATTGCCAATGGCAAAATATAAATAAAAATTTAAATGTAAACAAAAGTAGTCATCTGGGAATGATAAACGTTCTTATCGTGTTCAAAATTATTTTATTTTTATTATTTACGTTGATAAATTTGTATCGCAGATTACGATCAGTTGAATCTTATACATGAAGCAATGAAGGAGTATGAGAAGTATACATGTATCCAGCTTAAACCGAGAACAAACGAAGAGGATTATGTCAAATTTGTTAGTTATAATACTGGATGCTGGAGCTACGTTGGCAAGATTGGCGGTGGACAATCAATAAACTTACAAATTCCTAGTTGTGTAACGAAAAAGGGTACCGTAATACATGAGATCATGCACGCTACTGGCTTTTGGCACGAGCATGTTAGAGTTGACCGAGATGATTACGTGACTATCAACTGGAATAATATTGAAGAATGTGCGTATACTCGTAATTTAACAATAAGAAATTTAAAATAAGAGATAACTTTTGGAATAAATATTTCAAAGATTACATGCAAATGTCTTGCATTGTCATTTATTAATATTTAATATTAACTAATTTTATAGTTTTATATCAACAAAACGATGTATGCCATTTTTCCAGTCGGAAAGTTTTTTGCAGATTGATTTATGAAAATTTCTAGGAATTTTCTGTCATTTACGACTTAAGAATTATTAATTACCTAACAGTAAAATAATAAACGACTGTTTGTATAAATATAACAATTTATTCTAAATGCTGTAATAATTAAATGAAAATATTCTGCACAGCTACATTATAAACTATCTTTATTTTGTGTATCTAGCAAGCTCGGGTAATTTCGTCAAACTTTCCCCGAATGTCGTCCAAGGTTACGGCATCCCTTATGATTACGGCAGCGTGATGCATTATTCAGCGTATGCATTTGCCAAAAACTCTACTATAAGAACTATCATTCCCAAAGTAAGTGATAATTATTCTTTATAAATAATCTCTATAGAGTTTATTGTTAGTTACATTATTAAACAGAAATAAATTCGAGATATCGATTTGTCAATTTAATATAGAAAAAACGAAAACTTGTACATACTTACAAATTACACGCTGCATCAAATTATGTGTATCTGTTGTGCGTTTATCTGTTAAAACAGTTTTTGTAGTGACATTAATGATTTTATTATTGAAATTTTCAGGATCCGTCAGCAAGAATCGGTCAGAGAGTTAGACTTAGCAAGTCAGACTATCAGAAAATTAACAAAATGTATAACTGCAAGTAAAATAAAGGCTTAATTGACTGTTCTATCAGAGATCCATACTGATGAATAGATTACGGCTGCTGTCATGATAACGTGAATAAATAAGTGTGAATGAGTAAGTATAATAAATAAGTACAAAAATTAAAACTGCGTTTTGTCCTTATTTGCAATTTTCTCCAAAACGAAGCAAAAACGAGCATATCTTTAAAAGACCTTCTTTCCTAGTTTCGATCCTCTACAGTCTACATACTTACAAAGTTTTCACATATAAATTCGGGATACCCTGTATATGAACATATTATGGTTGATTTAACAGTTCTTTTTTCTATGCACATTTTGTGTTTTTATTGTGTATATAAGGTGCAGATAATATGTTATTTATATTGTTTATTTTTGCAATCTTATATATTACCATATAACTTAATTATTATTAATCATTTTATATAAAAAAAATTATATTTATTGATTAAAGATACACAGTTATTTTATTTATTTTTGATTATGTTTTTAATTATGATTAAATATCACACAGTTTATATGTTTAATTTGTATATATGTAATCAATTCGTTTAATAATTGATCTTCGAGTCAAATATTTTTCTTGTTTATCGTTTTTGTCAGAAGCATATATATAAATAAAAAATATATAAATAAAAAAGCAATTATTTGTCAATTATATATAATTATTGGTGAAAGATATATGTATGACCATTATATATAATTTATGGTATTATTTTCGTTAAAATTAGTTTCTTGGAAATATCGATAAGATTATGCGGAAGTGAAGTGCGAAAACTTTTGCAATGAAATGTATAAATATAGAAAAGAACGTATGGAATATTGTATTACTGCCTTTGCTTTCATTGTTATAGGACCATAGATAAAATACAACGATAACTTTCTGGAATTTCATTTAGTATCTATCATATTGTATCGATTAATCATTCACTCTTCGAAGTTTCTCGTCTTCACAATATTTGTATTAGTGGAAACGGTCCTTTATATAAAAGAATGTACCATCAGAAAAGACACAACATGACTTCAAATAAGGAAACAAGAAACAAGAAACAAGGTAATACAATGGATCAAGGAAGTTAATGTAAATCCTAAGGAATTGAGTGACTACTTGGAAAGAAGTCATACTCTTAGTAAAAGTCAAAATCTTAGTTTCAAAAGAAACGAAGATGTTTGAAGAAGATAAGTCTCACCGTTTGCATTATTTCCATCGTAAGTAATAATAATTTAGTAATTTTAGTAAGTATCTTTAATACTAAAAATGAGGAAGCATATATAATTAAATGTTAAAATGGTATCTTGAAAATCTTTTAAAATTCTTGACACTAAAGAAAAAGCATAATAAAAAAGAATTAAAAAAATCAAAGTAAAATAATTTAAAAAATACTGTTTTATAATAATAAGTGCTCTGCCAGTAAAACTCTTCTTCTTCTTCTTCTTACGTTAGACTTCATCGGAATGTATATAGAATAAAATACTTTGTTTATAATACTTTACAAGAAAAAGAAAAATATGTTTTGCATTATGAAAAGATATAAAGTTTTTACTGCTATAGTTCGTGTACCTCAAACTAATAGTAAACAAAACAAATAATAAATAATACTTAATAAATTAAGTTTTTATTAAGTACGGCGTATATACCGGAGTTATCCTAAATATTCGAATATGAATTGATTTGATTTTTAATCGTGGATGCACAATCTACAATGTTTCATTAAATTTTAATAGTCATTTTGTTAAAAATCAGAATTTCGAAGCAAGCTTTTATGAAGTCTACCCGCTCAATACCTACACTGAAACGTTTAATATATATATACATATATATATATATGAGTATATGTATTAAATATCTTTAGTGCATTTCCTTACATCTTCTGAAACTGCGTAAAATCTATTTACATTTGACAAAAAAAAAATCGTTTATTGTACTGGGAGGATTTCCAGTTTTATTGTAATCTATATTCCATATTCTATATTCCTTATTCTATATTCAAAATCTATATTCCATATTCTACACATAAAAGAACGTCAAAGCTCCACGGTGTTTGACGGACACCGACAGTTTCCGCTCTATATGTATTCGGATGCGCCCTTGTAATGGATTAAATATTCAAGAAGTTAATCGTGATTAAATATCATGTGACAGGTGGTATAATTATGCAACTTTACGACTGAACAATACTGTATTTCGTGACATTTAATCACGATTAACTTCTTGAATACTTGATCCATTACAAGGATATATTCATATGCATGTAGAGCGCAAATTGACGACGTCCATGAAACATCGTGGAGCTTTGACGTTCTTCGATGCGTATAGAATATAGAATATATAGATTAAATATAGAATAAGGAATATAGAATATGGAGTATAGTATGAATTCTTCTTCTTCTTACGTTAGGTCTTTGGCCTGTTTTACACCTCTCTTACATGCTTGTGATGCGCACGGCTAGCTAATTATTTAATAACCACAGCATATGGGACCTACAGTTTTAATGTCGGTTCCGAAAGGCGGATTTTTCGAGGGATGTTTCTGTGGGCAAGGATACTCTCGGGAGGTTACCAGCCTTTTCCGAGAGAAGACACGAGCGTAAATATTTTGGTTCCTACTGGATCGAATCCGGGCCCTCTGGTATGGTAGACCAGAGCGCTGTCTGTCATGCTAGGCTTGCGCTCAGTAAAACTCAATAAATTAATATTATACAAAACAAAATCGAATATTACATACACATTATATGGAAACAAGAAAATTATTTAAATTCTAGAATGCTTTTTTTTTTAATTTTATATATTCACGTTTTATACATCGTTTTTTTAAACATCGTTTACCTTTGAAGCAAGAAGAGAAGGTTATTTATTGTTAAAAAACAACGTAGTTTTTTGGTAAGTATTGGGGTTATTAGACAAATTATAGGGACGCATTGTAACGTGTTTCGCAATGGAATGTGCATAATAATGCCTACAATTATAAACTATGATGTCATTGTTTTTTCCTAGAAAAAGAATTTTTGAAAATTAGAAACAGTTACTCTGGAAAAAATGTTTTGCACATAATTATATATAATTATACATATATAAAATTGACATACTTTATATATAATTACACATATAATATGTCCGTATATATAACATTTTTTCCTGGGTAGATGCACACAATGAAAAAAGAACCGTTTATAGATGTTATTTATATTTAAATGTTTATAAATTAGTAATTAATAAGTTTTTATATAGGTATATCTAACTATTAAATATGATAAAAATTTATATATATTATTTATTTTTTCAATAATATATTATCATTTAGTTTAGTTAATAAATTATTTGTTTTGTATAGAAAAATTGTATTTGTTGATTTAAAGAACACAATTTTATTATTAATAATTGAAATATCGTCACATATATATTTTTAATTGTGTATGTTTAATATCCTGGCGGAAAAACTTTTATGAAAAACTACATAGATTGAGACAAGATCTTAGAAATTCATAGTTTTTCATAGATATTCGTAGTGGGACGTTGTTTGTTTGAAAAATCAAGAAATTCTTCGCCCTTTCCGTATTTTTTTATTTTACAGAACTTTTTTTCATATTTTGTATCATGAAACAACGCCCCACTACAAATATCTACGAAAAACTGAATATTTCTAAGATTTTGTCCTAATCTATGTATTCTATAGTTTTTCTGTACCTTTTCATAAAAGTTTTTTCCGTTAGGATATTTTAAAGTTACATATATTATTTTTATAGATAAAAATATAAAATCTATAAGACAAATTAGGATGCACGTATATCTAAACATGAAACTTCCGATAAAGAAATAATCTAAAAATCCTCGCGGTAATGAACCTTAATGTACGAGTACATATTGATCCCTATAAGCAAGTATAGACCCTCTAGCGACCTACAAGGTGCAAAAGTTATTTTGGTGTCTCCCCACCAGATGACTTTTTTTAAACCACTTATAAATATCTAGCTCGTACTTTGTTACAATATATCGTGATAAAAACGGTGAGAAACACGAGCAACAATTATCTTAGATGGGGGGGGAGGGGATATCTTAGATCATTAATTTATTTAACAAACATATATAATTATTGGGTAAAACGTTTTACTCAACAATTTCTTGTTTTTGAGATATAGTAATTTGAAAATATCGTATCGCTTTTTTATCTAGTATAATTTGATTATATAAGTACAAAAGCAGAAACATGTATCTCATATCATATCATTATCTTATAATGTGTGTAAAAAGTTATAATTGAGGGGATAGGCGGAATAAAGGCCTAATTACAAAATCTTGATATTAATACAAATTAAAATAAATTGCTACTTTTTTATTATACACAAATGGACACAATATTAAATGAATTTATGTAATGTCTTTAAGAAGTTACATGTTACAATACTTCTGTATTACGATCAATATTACATGAAAAAGCTAGTTGCCGGAAAAAGGCCTAAGTAGAATTGTGCCTTTATTCCGCCCATCCCCTCAATTGTTAGCTGTTACTTCATATATATCCTTATTCATTAATAAAATTTTGTAAATACCATATAAAATACTGTATAATTTTATACGTACGACGTATATAACGGTGTTATCCTAATTACTTATGAGTAATACATAATTATTTATGAGTAATATTATTCTCGCCAAAGCGTTGTGTAGTTAACAAAACGATAAGATTACGCAAGTAAGTAAAGTGTGAAAACATTTGCGATGGAGTATATAAAGGGAGAAACATTCTGAATATTTTGTTACTGTATTCGCTTTCGTCGTCAGGACCATAGAAAAGAGTAACTTCTTATAATTTGATTGACTGTCGATCATGTATCTATATTGTCGACTGTTAATTGCTTTCGCATGGATGCTTGTCACCATCACGTCAATAGGAACAGTCCATCATGGAGGGAATCATACTGATGATGATGATGACGATGATGACAATGACTGGTTAAACATGGTTCCGAATTATGAAACAGGACTAAGGACTGCGCAATGGAGCGAAAAGATGAACGTAAATCCTGACGAATTGGGTAACTACTTCGAAGGAGATATCATGGTCGCAAATGACATTACAAGAAATGTATTGAGTGATGACCGCGAGTATGCTATTTGGGAATGGTGGTCTGATGGCGTTATCCCTATCGTAATCGATGGTGATTTTGGTAAGTATCTTCAAAATTAAAAATTTAGTCACATTCTGTAATATATTCTTTAAAATCAATTATGTTTCATAATACACTACTCTCGAAATTCTTTAGAGTGAAATCTCACTCTAAGAAAATTGAGCTAATTGAATTGAGTCCCGGGAAAAAATGTTTTATTTATAATTATAAAATTATATATAATTATTTTATATAATTTTATATAACTATAAAACATTTTTTCCTGGGTTATCACTGTGTGTAAAATTGTCTTATTTTATTTCTGTTCACACACATTACAGATGAAAAAGGACACGAACATATACATCAAGCAATAAATGAATTTAAAAAGCGTACATGTATGGAATTTAAAGATAGAACTAACGAAGATAACTATGTCAAAATCAGTAGCGATTATTCTGGATGCTGGAGCGAGATTGGCAGAAAAGGCGGTGAACAAAAAATGAATTTGCAGATTCCTGAATGTTTAGGAAAGGGTGTTATCATGCATCAGTTTATGCACGTCGCTGGCTTTTCTCACGAGCACACCAGATCAGACCGAGATAATTATGTAAAAATCAATTGGGAAAATATTCAAGAAGGTATTTATTCAAATAACAAAAGTTTAAAAGGATTAATTTTCTTAAATAAAAGTATTTAATCTAACCGAAAAGGGATCTAACTGCCCTCCTCCGATTTTAATGAGCTTTTAGTATGTTAATCTCCAGACAAAAATAAGCGACAGGTATTTTTTTATACGTGCCCATACGCACTTTTAGGCAGTAAAACACTAATTGATGGAAATTGATGGAAATTATTTTATTGATTTAACGCTAATTGATGGAAATTATTTTATTGATTTATGTTATAAGCTTTTTTTATCGTATGTATTATGCATTGGCATTTTCAGGTGCTAAAAGGAACTTCAAAAAAGCTGAGATGAATTGGAGTGATTTTGAAATTCCTTATGATTATGACAGCATAATGCATTCTTCAGCGTACGCGGGCGGCGTACGTGATCACGTAAAAACTATTATCCCCTTAAAAGTAAGTATTAGTTTTACAAACAATTTATTACAACTCTAGCGTATATCTGTCGTTAATTCCATTATCGAAGTACTTTAATTATTAGACTCAAGAACAAAAAAATCGTAGAAAGATTTAAAAAAAATAATTTTGTAAGGAAAACCAAGTTATCATGATAGATAGTCGAAAATTTCACAATTTTTTTGGCACATGGTAGACTTATAAAGTAAAAAGAAGAATTTCCCTTTTTTAAACTCGTAGTTCTTTTTGGTAAAAATTACCAAATTTACATAAACTAAAAAATTATAATAACCTTTTGAAACTAAAGATTTCAAGCTTTAAAATTCTTTTTTTAAATTTAAATTTCGTTCATTTTTGACAAAGATATTGTATGTACAATTTCGAGATAAAAATACAGAATTTGTGAATAATCTTATTACGTATAATAATATTATATTATGTACAAATAAAAGTAATTTTTGTAGTAACATTAAGATTATTGTTAAATATTTTCAGGATTCATACGTAAAAATCGGCCAGAGAGAGCGTCTCAGCGACTTGGACGTTATGAAGATAAATGTAATGTATAATTGCTCATCGGTGTCACACAATCAAGTTATGTAGAAATCATCCTGGAATTATATCCTGCATCAAAATAAATCTTATTAATTTTGCGATGTTAATAATGCATAAACAAAAAATTAATCTTAGCTGTAATTTTCATATCCTAACTGTAAGTTTTTAAGTGATATCACTGTTCAACACCATTATGGAATATAAATATGAATAGTCATTTTCGATGTATTTTTGCCTGCTGACCGTAAATCCGTTGTCTAAATTTGACGTTACTTCACAATTTTGAGAAAAGTGAGATCAAAGAGATATAAAGAATGACGATTTTAATGGTTTTCATGACATGATAGCATCGGCAGCTAATTTTATTTCTAAGTTTCGTTTATATTACGCGGAATTAATATTTTAGATTTAAAAAGCATTTTGGCTGATTTCGATATCATTTTTCGTTTTCGAAATATATTAATTTGAATATAGTTCTCTCTTTTCTCGTATAACAACGTCATGAAAACCTTTAACATTGTAACGTTTGTATCTTTGACGCAATTTTTCTTAAAAATGCGAACTAATAATTAAATTTAAGTAACAGATTCAGTAGGTATAAATACATAGGAAAATGACTGTTTACATTCACGATACCAAAAAAAGTTAAATTTTGTTACCTAATGCAATTAGTGCAATTTATGTTATAGATTACTATCAATAATTAAAAATTGAATAAATATTGTTTCGTGAACATTGTTTACTTTATCAAAGCAAGAAGCAACTTATATTGTATATACTTATATTGTATATTAATCTTAAAGTTACATATTAATACACAAGTATATATTCTTTATGCAACTTTACTTATTAAACATTTCTTTTATCGAAACTTTTCTGATCCATATATTCCTTGCTAATCGACTATGTATTAGTTGACTAGAAATTTTTTAAATTAAAATAAAGGAATATGTAAAAATTTTTATTTAAAAGGAAATTGTATTTTGAATTAATGATACATTTTTCAAAGAAGATTTGAGATATCTCGCGAAAATATTCTTTATTTGTACATCATTACGAGTGATTCGTAGAATACACCGCGGCAATGTATCTACTATTTACATTACAACGAAGTTTCTTACTCTATTTATTTTCGGTAGAAACGTAGAAAAAGATCGCAATTGAAGATGATTTGCTCACTAATTTAAAAAGTATAAATTTGCCGGAAAATTATTATTATGAAACGAACTTAAACATATCGATACATCAAATATATATAAAGTAAATTCTGAATTGTCATATAATTAGGAAAAAATGTAACCTAATTTTTCAGTAAAGTTATAAAATGTTGTTAATTTTGATAGTCCTTCAGATTAGTTATATATGTATATATATGTTAATTATATATAAACAAATACACATTTTTTAATGGAATTTCACATTATATTTCTAAATTAAACTAATTAATTGATAACCAATTCTATAAAAAAAGGATACGAACCTGTATTACGTAAAATGTCTATTTCTTATCTTGTACGGTAGGAGATTCGAAGTAACACAATAATCCCCAAAATAGTATACGTATATATGTGCGCGCACGTGTATGCGAGTATTCCACTTAATTTTTACATTATTTATCTTCAAAATATCTAGTAATAACTATACATATATGTACTTATACTTTTTTATATAAATATTGTACGTTTTCTATATTTCTTCCTTTCACTTATTTATCTGTGTGAGAAACACAATGTCTTTAATGAAATAATAGTACGACAGTGCAATATTGAATCGTTTGATTAACAGTGTCGAATCAACCGATCCAGGTCTTCTTAATGAAATCTGCCGCTCTTTCACCTGCAATATGTACATATACAGTTATAAAAAGAAAAAGAGAAAGATAAAAAGATTTACATACCGATCATAATCGCTGGCGCATTCGTATTGCCGGATGTGACCCTTGGCATGACGCTTGTGTCGGCCACTCTTACACCTCGCACTCCTCTGACTCGCAATTGATTGTCAACCACGGCCATTGGATCGTCTGGCGGTCCCATTTTGCAGGATCCCGCCTGATGATTCTCGGGTGCAGTGTCATGACGAATTGCACATTCCCAGTAAGCATCGCAACCGAACTTGAGGTTCTCGCAATTCTTCACGGGAGTTCGGTCCAGCTCGAAACCATACCTATAAGTGATTTTCGTAGAATCCGCGAAAATAACTCAAGATACCTGAGACTAATCTACGATTTTTTAATTATTTTTGTTTATGATAAAAGTGAGATCTATGATATAAGAAACTAGTGATCTGTGTTAAAATAAGAAAAATAAGAAAACACGTCAGCATTTATTTACATTCATGAAAAAATCACTAAACATTGAAAGTTAATACCTTTTGAGAGCCTGAGTCTCCGTTAATCGGATACTGAACTTAACGGCTTCCACGAGAGCTGCTGAATCGTCGGGATGAGTCAAGTATTTGGGGTAGATCAGCGGCTTCGAGAGAGGATCGTTGTTTCGTAAGCGTAGATAACCGCGACTTTTCGGATGCAAGATAGTCGGGATGACGTAGATGCTGCGGTTCGCACCCTTCTTTTCGCCCACCATACCAGTCTCCGCGCAATCGGCCAGATAACCGCCGAAGATTAGCTGCACATCGGGATGATCTTCTTTCGGATTCGCGTACTTAGTGTTTATCATTGCTGTCACTTCGGATATTCCTAGATCAATGCAATGCTAAATGAATCTCGTTCTGTTCTGTTTTCAAAAAATCTAATAATGTTATTAATGTAATATAATTGTAATGAAATAATTTTGCATGTGTATACAACGGTAACAATTATTGTTAAGGTTTCCATATCATTAAAAAAATATATTTTTACAACCAAATATTTATTTTACAATAATTGAAGAGAGAGAAAGAGAGAGAGAGAGAGAGAATCAATCCGTAGTAATATTTTATCCATAAATCTGTAACTTTCAATGTCAGTATATCATTGATTAATAAATAAAAAATTCAATTATTAATCTGACTCACATCAGTATTTCGAGCATAGATGCAATCGACGTTTTTGCGACACACTTAATGTATCCGGATCGCGTTCATTATCCTTATGTAATTTAATTGAGCTCCGAATCGCATAACTGATTCGCGTAGCTGATGTCAAGAGAAGCGATTTTGCGAGCTGCATTTAGCGAGAACTGTGCTCCATTATAACGTCTAGCCGCGCCGCGGGCGTTCGTGCGAGGAGGCGAGAGACGCGATTCTCAGACGTGAAGGAGTTCAGCCTCGGAGGTGAGGCTTGTTAAAAACTAGCACAGCTCGAGGCTACCGATCGTGCTGGATACCTTAAAAAGCGCTATGGGTTATGATCGAGTTAGTCTCGTGAAAGGGATACGTTACGGATATAACACACGCGACGGAGTACGTATCTACATAAATTCCCGAGCAATTTACTCGGTGAATTCCCGACGCGAAGTTATGCGCTCGCATCATTTTCAACGGTTACTCTCCTACCTTTAATAAAGACTCAGGGATATACGAGCGGAATGTAAAGTAGATATGCCGGCCAATCAGAGTTGTTTATATAATTAAATGTATTAATTAGATAATCGCACAAAAGATAAAATACGTGACGACCTCGAATAAACTTTTTCGTGCGTACTGTCTTTCATTCTTTTTTTTATTAATTGCACAATAAACACAAATGTTTGTACCTCATTATAGTTAGAGTTGGACATATTTTATATATTTGTATTTGAAATAGAATATTTGAAATACAATTTGTATTTTGAGTTTTGTGTTTCAAAGGAGAGTACATAAAAGTATTTTATATTTTGTAATTCAAATACTGTAATAATGTATTTTGCCCAGCCCTGTCTAAAGTACACGTTAAAGAACGTGTGTTATCAAGAAATAAGAGTTACTGCCTCTTCTGGAAACTCTAACGTAAGTGAAATAGAATTCCCGCGCAATGTCGAGGGCTTGGCTTCGTTAAGGAATTTAATGATATATATTATCATAATTAAAAGACTAAAAAAGTATTTTGTATTTCAAAAAAATGTATTTATTATATTTAAAAAAATTTGGAAATACTTTCATTTCGTATTTTATATTTCAAATCGAAAGATAAAAAATATTTTTATATTGTAATTCAAATACTAAGATTGATAGTATTTTGTATTTTATATTTCAAATATTTTGATGATGTATTTTGTCCAGTCCTGACAATGATTAATCATACATAGAGCGTTTGTAATAATATGTGAGCATAACTTTAGAAATTAATTCAGGACACGAAAAGTTCATATAAACATTTATTCTGTCCATCTTCTTTTCCAAATTACGTTTTCATGTTTCACTCATTTTCATTATAAACTGTGTTGATTTAGCTGATTCTATTCAAATGTTTACTATCAATTTAAATTAAGATGTTTACTATTAAACAGAAATGTATCAAGATGTTATGCTAACTCAGTTTGTAATGAAAATTAATGAAGCACGAAACATCTGTAACTTTCGGAAACAAGATCAGATAATACATATATTTATATAAATTTGTTTATGTTATTTTTATTATCCTGAATTCATTTCTGAAGTTGTGCCTACTTGTTATGAAAAATCCTGTATACAATCTCTTTTAATCGCTACTTACACGCGTAGTAATTAAGCCTATAATGTAATGGAAATGCAAATGTAATTTGTAGGAAGGTAGATGATGATCACTCAAAGCGGATAAGTTGTTAATATTAATTTATGAGAAAGAATTAATGTAAATATTAAATTGATGATCAACCTTAAGTATGATCACTAATGTTCTCATAAATTATCGCACTTAAATTAACAATATTGCAATGAAAGACGTTATTAACTGTTGACATGTCTAAAAGTTACGTCAGATATTACGTATTTCATACATCGTTAAATTATTAATTTTTAATGTTATATCAATATCTCTATGCATTTCGTTTTTTATCATTGTATTTCTCAGTCTCGTTGTTAGGTTTTTTTTCGGGTCATAGAAAGCTTGAGAAATAATATTCGAACATAATGATGTATAGAGTGTATGTGAAATAATGGCACGGTACGAGGATCAGATAATTCGCATTGACAAATCATAAGAAGAGAGTCACGAGTACTGCACGAGGCGACGATCGGCTTCAAGTCGGCAATTCGGATGACGGTAAATAGATCTGTCGGTCGGGATAAGTCACGTAATCGCGGGTCGATAGAACCACGAACGTGACCATTGTGCAATAATACACTTTCACTGCTCGTGGCACGAAGCCCGTGAATTAACGCTCCGAGATGCAACATCCTTCGACATGGTAAACAGGAAGGAGAAGCGGACTAGTACTTTAACCCGACCGCGTTGCCCCGATCAATGAAATTGCAACCCTAGGGAGTCGATCTCAGGTTTCGAATTCTAATGTAATAACCCGGGACAATGATGGCTTATACTTGTGGAGTGAAAATACAGATAGGATCGAAGTTGCGGCTTCTTCGATTTTTCACCGAGAGCCATGCTAAACTTTATTTATGTTTCAAGAAATTAAATTTTTTAACTTACGTTATTGATTAAATAATTTTTTGAAAATATGATAAACAAATCAATAATTGATCAAAATTTAATAAAATATAAAACACAAAATTGCAGCGAGTAATTTAATGAAAAAACGTAATTACATATCCGTTATATCTTGTTGCATACTCGACGTATATTTATATTACTTTGTTTTAATTTTACATATATAATAAATTTTTTTAATAGTGTTAAACAGTTTATTATTTTCCTAATTTTTATTTTTAACAGTTCTTTTCTTTTCTTGACTTTTATTTGTTATTACATAACTCTAAATATTTTTTATATATATTCATGCATATTTTAAAATTTTGTTTATTATCTAGGAAGATTCTTTAGATTGTTCATTGCAATCTATCTTACCTGTTCCAGACATCAGGCCATCCCTGAAGAGCAAATATTCCATAGCGGTCGCCCAATTGAGAGGAGTAGTATCGGTATCGTTGATGGTGAAGGTTAACGCGTAGGCAACATGATTGTGAAGATTTTTGCCGACACCCGGGAGATCACGAACAACCGGCACTCCCACTGTATTAAGTTCATCCCGAGGTCCTATGCCGCTATTTAAGAGGATTTGCGGCGAATTAACGGCACCTGAACAAACGTGATGATTTCATTGTGAGAATTTGTATGCAAGATAGTAACGCTAAATCCTACAGATTTTGCCAGTGGATAATATCGTGAAAGGTAATGCAAATTTATTCATTTATTAAATATTTATAAAATATAAAGATTTAAAAATAAAAAAATGATTTCTTCATCCACTGTAAATTTAATTTTATTATCTATTGTAGAGTATTTAAAGATAAAGAATTTATCGGCGCGTATTTGTCTTCTATCGTTTCAATATCACTGCGAAGTCTAGTCCCAAAGACGTTGTAAGATGCGCAATCCGTGTTCGAGAGAAATCGATTACTATCCCTCGAGAGAATTTGCGGAAGGATGAGTAACTGAGACTGATTCTCTATATATGTGTGCAGATCGTGTGGTTTCTAAACACAGATTTCTGTATACGCGACATTCTTGACATGAATAGGAATGTAGTTGCACCTCTTCAGAGGCTTCTTCTTCGGTGTCAAAGATAAGACAGAATCGTCGATATATCCGAGCCCTCGAGAAGTCCATAGAGATTTGTCTGACTTGCACCGGTTTAAATTACACACGAATGTTAGCCGACGAAGCGTTCGTTATCCCAATTAATCGGTAGAATTACCTCCGCTCACGATCACCTCCTTCGCCACCGACACGTGTTTCATCATTCCGTCGTGAAGGAACTCGACACCGACCGCCCTGTTATTCTCGTCGAAGAGGATCCTCGTCGCCGTCGAGTTTAGCATTATGTGGAGATTCGGGCGGTTCCGAGCGGGACGCAGGAAGGCGCGCGCCGTGGAAAGACGTGAACCATTCCTGGATGTGGTCTGCGCTATGGCGAACCCGGTGTGGGTTCGTCCGTTCAGATCAACCGTATCATATCCTGATACAAATAGATAGATAGATAAATAAATAAATAAATGCGTTTATAAGAAATTGTAGAGTAAGTCCTCTAAAGTGGCGTCTATAATAAAATTAATTGCGTCAAATTTAATAAGGCTTTAAGTCTTAAACCGTAAAAAATTGAGATCAATCACAGTCGAATGTGAGGAGAATAATCGACTATTGATTAATTTCTTACGGCTTAAGGCTTAAAGGTTAAATTTTACGCACTAAAATCTCATTGTAGACGCCGTTTAAGAATTCAATAATGCATTGAGATTAAAGGATAACAAAGACAAACGGTGAGTAGACAATACGAGAACTAAAAATTGAGCGGAAATAGAAAGGAAAAGGTGAGAGACAAAAGCAATTCATCTTGGATTTCTTTGATTAATCCTGATAAATTTAGAGGTAAAGATTGTGTAGTCGCTCAAACCTCGTAACTATACGTACCTAATTCTTTTCCAGCTTCCAAGAGAGAGGTACTTAATGGAGGATGGTAAGGAAACTGCATGACCGTGAGTGGCCCGCCGACCCCATGATAGCCGTAATCCATGCTGTTCACTTGCTGATTATCCTCGCTCCGTATAAAAAACGGTAGGACGTCGCGATAGGACCATCCGACGTTGCCGAGCTTGGCCCAGTCGTCGTAATCCTTGCGCGAGCCTCTCATATACATCATCCCGTTCATAACGCTCGTACCTCCGAGGACCTACGGATTTACGTTGTTATCTACAGTTTCATACTGCAGTTTCATATAGATACTTCTTAACAAATATCTCTGACAAAGAAATATCCTCTAATTTTTAATTAAAACTATAAAACTGTAAATTGTAGAATTTATTTTAACATTAATTCGATTTTGAAAATTCATTAATTTTGTTATTTTCTGTAATTACAAAAAATACTTAAGACTTTTAAAAGTAAAAACATTATGTATCTATACAACTTTTAATCATGTGATATAATTTCAATCAGGAATTTAATTGAAAAACAATTAGAAGAATTGATAGGAGGTTGGAAGAATTAATATCGAGGTTTCTTCTTCTTCCTGTTTCTTTCTTTCATCTAATTCTACATACTTTTCCTCTAGGCCAGTAACATTTTTTGTGTTCCTTGTTCAAGCAAGCTTCGTCCTCGCTCTCTGTGATGTACTGCCAGTCGATGTCGCTGCCGATGAAGTTGAAGAAGAAGGAAGGTATCTGGGTGCCCGTTGGCTCGTCCAAGCCAGCTTCCAACAGCAATACGGAAAATCTCGGCTCTTCCGACAATCTGGCCGCGACGGTCGCCCCAGCGCTACCGCCTCCAATCACTACGAAATCGTACCTACAGAAGGAGAGACGTCATCGCGTTGACATCGAATCCTAATATTAAACCTACATATATTTGGAAACAGTTACGTTACAAAAATTTCATAAATCTTGTCCGGTTTTCTCTGGTATCGACAAGGTATATGCATATTTATCTCGTTACTCAGCCTTTGCGCTTAATTATCGAGCTCAGGTCATTGATCTTGTGATAGATGAAGCGCGACGAAATAGCATGAAAACTCTTAGCTTACGCAAATTCTTTTGACTGAAATTTCGATCCTTCTCCTTAATTTGAAAAATAACGTTTCGAAAGCGAGAATGTGTTGGTGCGGACGATTGCTCGGTTTCCAACAATTTACGACGTATACTCATTTACAAAAAGAACGTTAATCAGCAAAGTCGTATTATTAAGTGATCTCCTTACTTTTTACGAATCGGAAACTGGGTTAGAGAGACGATGAAGAGAAATTATTACGGGAAAAAGTAAGAAATTAAACTCACTGTTAAACTGAATTATTTGTTCTCTCATGATAAGTTTTCTTCTTCCTTTAATTGGATAATTAAATCGATAATTATCGTTGCATAATTAATAACTTAATAAGCCTCGTTCTTGGATGTAATTAAACTTTATTAAATTTTCGATTCTTAATTTGCCTAGTGAACTAATGATTGTTACATCATGAATGTTGGCAAATTCGATCGATTTTGCGCCGCACCAGGCCCCTGTATTGGGGACGGTGCACCCTTTCCCTTCTAGCTATGCCTCCATACCGACATCGGGCGAAAGGCGGGTTTCTCAGGAGGTTGCTCGGGACGATCGTAAGTGTCCGTGGTATATGCTCTCAGCTGAATGCCACGGCGTGCCTGTATCCGTATTTATACGCTACGAGGGACAATGACATACTTTTACGCGCAAGACTTGATAGAACGGCGTACACATAAAATAAAATACTATAAGAATCTCCCCGATCATCTTCCTCTCAATTCTGTCTTCGATTAATCCGGAACCAATTTCCCCATAAAATTGCCGAGGGATACGTGCTTTTTAGATCGTGAACATTAGGTCTGTTTTTTTTATTTTTTTACATTAGACTGCACCAGAACTTTCTGTCTCGCTGTCGCCAAATATCAAATACCTATTTATTCACTTTAAGTTTCAAAAGTGTGATGATTCAATTATAGAAAATAAACTTATTGTAAGATAAAGGTCTTAAAAATAAAACATAAAAAAATGTAAGTAGTTAACAATAGTAATTAATAGAAAGTATCAACATATTTTTAAAAATTGACGCTTTTTAATTAGCAAATTCATTACGTTTCTCACGAGAGATATGGATCTCTTACGTCTTACATATCTTAATTAATTTAATTTAATTTATTTTATTAATGTCATCTTCAGTGTGCGAACATTGAGCGTATCATAAGATATGTGATGCAAATGCATTACTTCTTACATCAGTTCGTCTTATATATCGTTATTACGTTGTTATCACTCTGTCAAAATCCAACATTTAGAAATCACCAATTTCCTGTGGAAATGCATATACACAATGTTTCATACTTATGTAAATTTACTGGAATGAATATGTCAAATAACTTAGATTATCTAAGTGCCAGTGGCTATGTAACGGCAGGTCAAGATAAGTACAAGCACTATCAAACCTGTTTTCATCTTCGTTAAACAGGTTCTTGTATGACACATAATAACTTCACTGCACACTCTGCATTCTTTTCCTTTTTTTTTGACGGTCGCGGTTTCGCAGATCACTTTGTGTCCTTCGCGCATGATAAGGTAAGACAAAAGTATATGAAACGACAAAATACTGTTTCGTAATCAAGGTTCTTTTACGCTTACATTTGAATATCAATCGCATCGTAAAAGATTCTGTGGAACATGATATATTCGAGGACCAAATAAATAAATCAAAGATTTATTTATTCACTTAAAAATCAAATAAATTAAAATAAATTTTGTCTCGCGCGTTTTATACAAACTTATTTTTATATGCTCTTTTTTTACGTGCACACAGAAAAATACGCAAGTAATACTTACTTATTTCAAGTGTATCTCAAAAGCTTATATATCCGCAAATCTATCATAAGTTCATCAGAAGCATTAAATTTATTCAAAATATATTCTGAATCCTAGTAAGAGTTTAATATTTCAATCAAGTTTATTAAATGAAAACAAATTCGATTTGCTTATTATGAAAAAGTTCGTTTCTTCGATCAATTTTCTAATATTCTTCGAAAGAAAATAAATTCTTGTTTTGAGTACATAATAATGAGTTTTTCTAAGTATATTTTTTTATAGATTATTATCAAGAAAATATTCTTCGATAAAGATAACCGTTACTTAAAAGAAAGAAAATAAATTGAGTAATCTTTTCTTAGGAAATAAATGATATTTTTCTGTGTATGGTTCGACACATCTCTTTCGTAGGTAATTCTTTGCCGGGTATAAAAGAGCTCTCTGCTCCTTTCGCGCGTCGGTGCGTGCAGCGCAAGTGCGCGTCGATGAGGCGACCAGATGTGACGCAACGAAGAGATGCATCGGAACAATGGCCCGCGATATTACGTACGCGCGTAACAACGATCTCGCGGATGGAGGTGTGCGTGGATGCTCGTGTTTTTCCGAGAAAGAAAGAGAGAATCGAGAAAAGCGCCGGTAGTACTTCTGTGGTATTACGTGAGTAACGTGTGCCCGCGACACAATCGTATATCCGTATTTAGGATTCGTCGCGGAACACTTCCCGCGGATGCGATGCTCTCTTCTTCTTAGCGGAAGAAATCTCTCTCATCGATAAGTGCCAAAAGATCCCATGCGGGAAAGAAAAAAAAAGTGCGACGTGTTATTACATTCAGCGCGCGCACAATGCGGTCGCGAGATAAGGAAACCACTCGGGATGGTGGTAGATTCATCCTCGCGACCGTATCTCCCGACCTCGATCGGACGATCAAATGATACGAAAACAAGGAAATCGTGTTTGCGAGTTTCCTAAGCTCGCGCTCTCGCTATCCGAGTAATTGCTGATAACCGCGATAGTTGGACAAATTGACAATCCGACGGACATTTGTGACTCAGCGAACATGAGATTTATGAATGTGTGTGTTTTCGACATTCATGAACTCTCGGGAGATATGCCGTTCCTCATTTCCGACCTCTTAATCTTTATTTTTTATGTAAAATAGAACTTGCCATATTTGACAGGAATTAATGTGCACTCTAAAATTTTTAATGGAATCTCACTCTAAAAAGTGAAAATTGAATGTCTTGAAAAGAACGGCACACTTTTCAGTGTGCAAAAAAAAAAAGAACAATGAGATTTCACTCTTAGTGAGAATTCACTTCAAAAGTTTTAAAGAATAAAGACGGCAAATGCGAATTGACGCGTAGTTAATTAGGACGCAGTAATATTTTAATAAGCAAATTAATTTAGTAATAAAAGTAATAATAACGAAGATATTCACAAATAATACACAAAGATATACATGACTGTAAGGCAGAAAATTTCTATCATAAGAAGTTATCACAAATATGGAATTCTTAACATCTAATATATAGGCTATGTTCGTTTGGTGTTCACAACGCTTGTATAATTTGCTCTTTTTTAATATTTAATAAAGAACAAGCTAAAATGCTGCTAATTAGAGCGCTATTGAGTTGCTAAAGTAAACGTAGCCATAGCGAACATAATTTCCATTCAGAATCGATAGATAATAAAGATAATGGCACACCAAAAGACTTAAGTAGCAAAACGTAAGCAGTAAGAAAATCGATATGTTTGATTTGCTTACGTTATGGCTTTACGAGCTTTACTGTGATTAGCCAATTCGCTTACTGCTTTTTTTGTGTGCTCTAGACTTAATAGCTAAAGCAATTTATACAGAAACAATTGAAATAGATCATTAATAAGGCCAAGAGCACATAACAAAAGGCCCGTTCTTTATCGAAGAACTCTCTAAACTAGTGCACAACGGTGCAATGAGTTGAAGTGGAAGAAACAGTTCAGAGAGTTTATCGATAAAGAACAGACGTCGGCGGACTGTGTCGTTTATGGAAAACAATTAAAAGTGAATTGTGTGCATGCAATGGTTACATACATTGTCATGGACTTTCCATCAATGACACAATAGTCGGCCGACACTTTGTCTATCGTGTTTTTGCCCTAACAGTAAAAAATTGTCCACATGATAAAAATTAGTCAACACGATAATAACGACTATTAAGTAAATTAAAATTAAAGGTGTAAAAATAAAATATATAAACACCGAACATTGTGTGTCTAGTTAATGTAACAATCGAACGTTAAAATGCTTTTCATTTTCCTTCAACGATGTCATTTTACGTCATTAACGTACACTTGATTGTCGTACGAATGACCGAGAGATGTACACACATCATGTACTCATCTATACGCGTAGATAAGAATTCTCGGCAAGTTGATTACCGTTATCGCGCAATCCGTCGAAAGAAATCATCGAAGGCGAGGTCGATTAGGATCTCTTTTTCGGTTACCCATGACCCATATATTTGGCAATCATCTCGTCCAGAATGGTTTTTGTATGAAATTTACCTCGTATTGACGCTGCTCGGTGGCGCAGGTCTATTACACGGGTCCTCGAGGTCGCATTGACTACGCAAGAAGACTTCGAGCAGCCCCATGAAGAGCATGAAGGACGAGCCACCGCATGTCGAAGCCAAAGTGGGCCCTGCGGACGTAGTCAACGGACAATTGCAACTCATCTGGAACAGAAACATTATTGGTGTTTCATCAATCACGTAGTGACTCGACGTAAATAGGCTTTATCGGTGCTGCAACACCGAAAGGCTCACCGTAAGATAACAATTTACTTTGGCGGATCTGATTGAAACTGAGCTCGTTCTCGGTTCTTTTATGTCGATAGTAAATAACGTACGTCGGTATCGGCAGGGAAAGGACTTTATCAAATCGTCGCGCGTTAATTCCAAGGAGAACGTATTTTATTTGAGAACGTTTCTCCAACGCCGCACGAACAACTACAATAACTAACCGCAGAAATGCATGACCATTTAATTTACGCGTATTACTGTGATTACGTAAATTATGCGATAATCATATATCTTCTTGTACCTCGAAGATAACGGTAACTGTCATCACGTTTTGCTGTAACATGATTATGCAGATTAAATTGATTATTTCTCAATAATCACGACTGCGATATTAATAGCATTAATCAGGATTACAAGTGAAATATAATAATCTGTATCTACGAGAATATTAACTATGTAAACTATGTCATAGAATATTAACTACGTAAACTATGTTTGATGTGTAAACAATCTATGGATCACTGAAGAGTATCTTCTTTGTCGTTGTACTGATTATACATAATAATAAAAATAATACAATACATAAATAAATAAGTTTTTCATTGCTATAATATATCTGACTTTTACATTAATAAATAAAAATATAAAAGCGATATAGAAGTTTAGTGTTAAACTGCTCTTCTCGCGCTTGTATATCTTTATTTATTAATATAAAAGTCAGATATTAATAATTATAGAACTTAATTATTTCTTTCTGTATTGTATTATCCCGTTTATGATAATTTACATATTTTATATTGCCTACATGAAAACAATTCGTGTAAAGTCAACGTAAACAATACATGAACACTCCATGTTAATGTAGGGTGTTGAAACACAGAGCGCAAACCTGCTCTTAATTGCCCGGTTGAGAGGTAAAGCGTGTGATCTGCGAAAGTAATATTTTCATTCGACAAAGGAGCCGAAGCATCTAACAATAAGCAATATCCCTTAAACCAGTCATGCACCGATGCAATCCGCCGAGAGCGCGTTTATCTTCGATCCACTGCATCGTCGGCGGACCATGAAGCCGAGCTCCGTTCCGCGGAGAACAAAAGCCCGAACGAGAGTGAGAGTGCGCATACCGACGTCGCCGTCGTCGTCACCGTCGAACGTGTAACAGCCCCGTAATAGAGTTGTGTCCGGCTGTAAATTCATTCAGCTCCGTTCGACCAGCGATTGAGAGGCGATCCCTCTTTGCGGGAGACGCGTCGCACGTGCTTTCTACAATGCAATTCTCTTGCATTGCGTCTCTCTCGGAATGCGCGCCTACCTTGTATGCGCGCGTACGTGTATACAGCGCGGTGAAACTTTTTTTTTACACCGCGTGTTTCCTCTTCCGACATTTCTCACAGTCGGATACATAATCGCGCGAGGCGTAACGCGCCGAATTTCTACCGCGAACCCGCGAGTGAAGCGTAACGATTGTATGTAGGGATTGCATTCACGCGACGCTTAAATTTTCGGTGAGAAAGCACGAGAGGTGTGGAGAAACAAAGAGAGCAACACGCCGCGCGGTACGACTTCTCTTCATTGAAAAGGAAACCTATACAGCACAGACCTCCGAGAGACATCCTAAACGCATCCAGGAGACGTTTTTTGTCCTAAGGATGTTCTTAAGATGTCCTGCGAATAAAGTGTGTTGTATGGGAAAGATTTAGATGCCAAGGTCGATATAGTAATGATTTTTTTTATAAATAATATTTATTATATTTTAAAGATACGTGGATTATTTTTTCTAATTTCTAGATATTCAGAGAATTTCCACAAATTTTCGAATTTATTAAGGAGAAAGATAAAGCTAATTTTTTTTTATTGACAGATTAGTGAATTCTGCGTCTAAAATCTGATATCAGTTCAATGGATTTTTAACGAGATGAGGGATAGATCTTTAATAAGGGACGGCTTTTATTAACGAAATTACATCCGACAGGTTGTATCGCACGGATGTACCTGACACAACACGGTGAGGAGGTAAGAAAACAGAAGGAGAAGCTGTAAAATAGCATGACTTTCGTAATCGACGGCGAGACAGTGCGCGGTTCTCGGTCAGTGAACGTAACGGTGTTGAGGCTTTGCGAAGGAGCGTATATATACGCTCGAGGGACGTATAGCTGCAGGCGAATTCGGGCTCCTGCAATTACGTACTAAAGTACCATAATGTACCTGAAGCTGAATGTAATAAACAAAACTCGACAGTCAAAGTAGGAAATGAGTCTTATTTGTCTATTCTATCAGAGGTAATAGTATTACAATAATAATGATTCAGTGAAATTAGAATTTTAAAAATGTCGGAAATGATGATTTTTACAAATTATAGTATATAACAATTAATAATATTTCTGAATCACGTACTAGATTTGTATCAAATGATTTAAACAAAACGCAACCTAATTTTATTCCATTTATTTAAAATAAATTTTATAATATTTAATTTGTGAATTTTATCACAGGATATAAATTGTAAAATAAAATCAAGTGATATATTTTTGTTTCGCTATATTTATATCACTTTTAAAATGGAACGCTTCATATATTCCTGTTTAATTATTAGATTGTACTTATTATTTATTTTACATACTCGACGTTAATACGCTTCCTGATTAATTAGTGCGTCGTCCATGTCCGCTGGATATCTTTCGCTCGAAATGGAAAATCACGAATAAACAAAGTAATTTTCAATCGTTTAGAGTAATGGAAGTATAATTTTGCTCATTTTTTCCCATTATCTTACGTGCGTGCATCTAGGCATCAACGGACCATTGAGAAATTGCTTACTCATAATCCTAGCAATTCTGAAGAACGCATCTCGCTTCCCATTTTACGTAAATTATCGCAATATGTAAATTTAATGTATACGATAACGAAACAAGTCTTTCCTCTCCCTAGAGAATTCCCATCGCACCTCATTTCTTACGTTGATGACCTGGGTATAATTAAGCCATAAATACTATTTAAATGTATTTTCAAGAGGTTTTAAAAAATGTTTACCTGCGAAATATAGACGAAATCGTATGTATTTATTATCTTCAAGGGGTTCTTAAAAATTTTTACCTGTGAAATAGAGGCGAGAATATACTTATGATTTGTACACGCTTCAATTTCTCGACCGCACGAGATTACCCTGACTCGCGTGAACGTTGACTGACGGTTTGCATTTTTTCTAATTGTTATTCGTGCATTGTTATCCGATGTGTGTTACACGTAACATATACGATCAATAGCGTAACAGAACACAGTTTGGCGGTGTAATGATTGTTTGCACGAGAAGACCGTAGCACCTGAGAGGGTGTTAATTGGAATTTATGTAACTTAAAAATGCTTAACGTTGGCGTTAACATCGCAATCGCCACAAAGAGAGTATAATTTCCCGCAAATTACTACTGTATGTTTCTTGATTCTCGAGCGTGAAAATGTAGATATTACACGCCACGTTACATATTTCCTGGCATAATTTTCCATGTCAATTTCATCTATTTTGCTATGTTCACCTTATTATACACGTATCCAGTTCCGACGGATATCTTCGATGTGGTAGCTATTTGATTACAATGTTATGCAATGCGTTATGCGTAAGATCTGAACGTACGACTCTTCTGAATAATCTTAATTTTTATATTTATATAATTACGAGATATTCGATAATGGCAAATTTCACTGCGATTCAATGCGATTAAAAATTATTCTCTTCTATATACAGCCGGATATTTGCGTAATTGCTTTTTAATGAACACAGCCGAGCAAAACTTTTAGACATAGGCAAATATATTAAACACAATTATGTCATACGTGCTTTATAATTTTCATGAATTTTAAGATTTACGATTTTAGTGGAAAAATTACCGTGTCTACGACAAACCGTTATCAGTTTTTTTTATAATTATATACAATCACACTTCAGAAAACAAGGCGATTATGATATAATCTCAAAACTTTATATAACTTTAATTTGACATTGATAAACGGACAAGAATCATCACGTTTCGTGCATTTCTCACGTGATTGACTCGATATGATCTTTAAACACGCATATGTCTCTCAAGGACTTGCGAGTGGATATCGTATCTTACCGATAGATTTGAAAAACGAATTATGCATATTCGACAAGGACATCGTACATGTCGCTACGGTGATGATTATGCGTTTAAAGGGAGAGGTACGCCTGATGACGTTTAATACCAAGGTACACGATTATCAGATAGCGAATTAATCCTGCATACTTATCACTGCGTTTATTTAATAAGTAATTAACTATATTGTACAGAGATACAATTTCTAGTTGCAAAAATGCATCAAGCGTGTAACACATATCAGAGACAAGAAGACGAGGCTCAGATATGCCTTTCACTCATTTTCCTGTCAGATATGTAAATATACAAACACTCATACATATATGTATTTATAAATGCATGTATTTTTATGAGACATTATATATGACGTTTCTTTCTTTAGTTAATAGATACTTATCAACTAATCCGCTAACTAATTTTCATATATCTTGCATATGCACGGAAATAATTATATAGTCGTTAGAATTTTGAATGAGTATTACTTGGAAAAATTTATCTCAGTTTAATATAATATTTCATTTTATAAGCTGGTTCTATGTAAAACAATCAAAATTAATTAATTTAAAGTAACAATTTTTTGTTCCTTTCTCCTTCCTTTTTTTCTTTCTCTCAATGATAATAAAAAATAAATAAAAAATCTATCAAAACTTCATTGATAATAGTTTATGTTTATATTTCACGAATATGGAAACTGCGGTTCGCATCAACCGTCCTAATTTTGCTGTCACGAGTGAAGAGATACAGAAATCATCTCCAGTACAGCATATCTTGACTCGCCAAAATTACACCGGTTTCAAGGTCCGGTGGGTCTCACCAAGACCGGAGTAGAGAAGAAAAGGCAAAGAACTCACCTTTCAAGGATGGTCACCCCGTATCCTTCGAAAGATAATTGCTCGACTGGGGCAGCCCGCAGCACAGCGCGGAAAAGACGCACGAGAGAGTAAGCGTAGCTCGCGGTACCGCGATCAACGGCCGACTAGACCGGTACCATTCCCCATCGCCGTGCTAATATTCGACAACTTCCACCACTTTCCTACCTTCTCTCTTCTGCTTCGCACTCGCAGGAACAGTTTCGGGAATTTACGTTCTGCGACTAGTTAGCATCACAAAGAAATTTCGCGATGGAGGGACCGGTAGGCACTAATTAAATTATTGCAGACGCTTCCGCTGAAGATCTCTTAATGACGAAGAAATTCTGTGTGATACGGAATGTCGTCATTAATCGTTATGACTATTGTTTGTGTCGATTAAATTATCATGCCCTAAGAATAATAATATACTATCTCAAATTAAATAATGATTAAGGAACAAGTATCATAGTAAATCAAATTAGATAATTGTTTAATTTAGCCAATACAATACGTATTGTGTCCGAAAGAAATTCCTAATTGAATCTGCAAAAAAGTCGAAAGATAAGCTAAGGATAATATAGTACATTTGGTTATCTCATATGATATTATCTAAGTGCGAAGAGAAATGATATTCGTGAGGGATAAATTCATTTTCCGCAGACACATTGCCTGACACCGTTCTGCAAAGTACGCGAAATACTGCAATTTCTCGCTGCCATTGTATATTTGCTTACTCTACCCCCGGGCTAATAATCGCGGAAGTATTTACAAACGAACGATTTCGTTTCTAAAATCACGCTATGGAAAGGAAAAGGAAAGGCGACGACAGGGAGATAATAAAAAAACGCCCATAAATTTTGCACTCAATCAGAAAGGTACCGTTTCCCATCACGATCCCGTCATTTCGATGCCGCTGATGTTGTCATAGTTCTCGTGACTGGAATACTCGTCGTACACTGTTCGGTTTCTCATATTATTGTTACGGATATAATAAGGCGATGTCTTGTAGGAGAGCATTACTGGACGTTCGTTGTCGAATAAGTCTTCGTCGAGAAGAAACGTGATCAGCATATCACGCTGCAAAACCGAAATTTGGAACCGGTTTCACAGGTCATCCAGAATAAGATAAAAATATCGAGACATCGTTCGCGATACCTGTATTTCCTTCCCCGTTCAACGAAACGTTTAAGAGCTACCTTAGAGAAGATCCTCCGTATTCGCGACTTGATTTGCCAACGTAGTGAACGGATATCGTGTCATAAGGGTAATTTGCGAGACCGTGGAGTTTCTCGTCCCGAGTGCTGTAATCACTTTGCCCCGTTGAAGCAGATGGACTGAATGTCGCAATATTTTTATTGCGCCCATCTACGTATCGCATTTCAGAAACTCGGCTCTTCTTCTCCGTAATTTGGCCTCTCGCGGACGTTTCTATGTCGACCAACGTATCATTTCTATATCTGTAAACATCAATGACACGTTGCAGTGAAGTCAGACATTATAATTACATAAAAGTATACGAGATTTCTCCTATTTTATTTTTAGGTAAATTAAATCTTTTTTCGCAACATAATAGAGATATTTTTTTTTTATACAATTTTAATACCCAGTTATTCTTATTTTTATTTTCTTACGTTTATTGTTACTTTGTTTTAACATTATGCGATCTAGCATAACTTTAGAGAATCATTTTTACACAGATTATCAATTGCGACATCAGTGACGTTTGGTTTGGATCCTTGTTCGCGGCTTGACTGGGGCTCATTCCGTTCCAGATAATCATGAATCATATACCATGGTCGCCACTCGTAATCCTGTATGGTTTGAATATGATGGAATAAACAATTGCCATACCAATTCACTGAAATTACATACACACGAGGACATAAATATCTAGATATATCTTTTCATGCCTTTTCAGTCCTCATGCCTTCTTCTCATTCCTTCTTATGTATACACCTTCTTCGATACGCGTGCAATTTCGAATGGCTAAGCCTTTATGTCCTCGTGTGTACAAACGTTTGAAAGATAATCCTTTGAAGCGTACTCACGTCAGAGTTATCTAGCTCTTTGTTACGAATATTTAGCGAAGCAGTGCTTATTTTTTCCGTCATCGGGAAACTCCTATGATCGTTGGGCGATTTATCGGTATGATTCGTCTTGATATTTTCTATCTTGGCAATTGTAGAACTTATATTTGTATAATCAATAGTCTCATCTGCAATCGTTGAAGTATTATCCGTCTTCAAATTTCCAATATCTAAAATAGTAACATTTATACAACGAATTAAAAAAAACATGCGAATGTCTTATATATTTAAATAAAAATTTTTTTAAATAATTTAAATAAATTTAAATCGTAAAAAATTAAATAACTTAATTATGCAGAATATAAAATATCCAGATATTGATTTTTAAATTGGCAATCACTAATTAGTAATCTCTGTTATAAAAGATCCTTTTATGAACTGAACCTCAGCTAGTAAATTACATTCTTTAATTAATTTTAAGTAGATTTATGATACAACTTAAATTTAAAGTTCAGTTCTAAAAATACGCAACACTCTAGAGGTGAAAAATTGCATAAAGTGGTTTATGCTTTAGAAATGGTTTTTGTAAAAGAAAAATCAACTCTAAATTATGTCTCATAAATTTTAATGGATTTTGTGACAATGGCTGTACACTTAACATTTCTCGGAACTAAATTCTTAAGTTTCTGCGATATTAATCGTTGATCAGAACACAATTCCAACTAACATAAATACCTGCAGGTGTTATTTCTGGCAAAGGTATTGAAGCCGCTTCTCTAAAAAGGTCAGTGAAGAATGTGTCAGTGAAGAATGGTAGAAATTGTCCTCGTTTTCCCATATCTTCGACAAGGATCACCGGCTCATACGGCGGCAATAAAATCTTGTACGGTTCTTGTGGCGCGTGGTATCTCCATCCCTCTTCGTCCTTCACTTCCCACGAACGATATGGATCCAGATTTTTTATCCAGATTGGATAACCTTGGTCAAAGAAGTTAATGTCCTCTAACATCATGGGAAGGGGGAACTCGTTGTTAGTTGTTATGTAGATCTTTCTTGGAGTTTCTAATTTATCTGCATCACCCGACATAGTTGGCTCAGTCTTCCCATCAGTGGGTACAGTTGCCGGAGAAGTTGAACTCTTAATTAAAGAATTTAGGAGTGATCTTTCCATAACATTTCCAATGTTGCTGAAATAATCTGTGTTGTATAGGTTTATTAATACCTGGAAAACTTTGCCATCGTTGATTGGAAAGGGTTTATTGTGATGCAATTGAACTCGAGGATAAGGCAACGTCAAATATAGTTCATTCGTTGATGATTCTGTGATTAAATTTGGCCTCGTTGCTGTAATTTGCTGATGAATCAACGAAACTTCTGTCCCTTGCTTTCTATATAAAGAAACGCATTTGCAGAATAATCACCTTGTATCTTTAAAATACTAATTAGTGTTAATGGAAAATCCTTAACTTACACAGAAGTTGTATAGTGAATACTTTGTCTCCTCGTTGAAGTCACTGGTAAAGTCGGCTGAAATCATAATCGAGTCTTTCAATTTCGGAACTGAATTTTCTTGTAATCTTTAACTCATTCATATAAGAAAATCCTCCACCTTTTTGCTTGTAGTTGGGTAATTCGTTCTTCTCTCTAGCGCCTGGCGAATCAATTCCCTCTCGGCTTGCACCAAGGTTCTTCTGGTTGAAGATTGCTTAGAGACCTACATTTGTTTCTGTCAGAGTTTTTCTAGTCTATTTTTAGTGAACTCACGGATTTGTTTCGACGGAAAAGTCGTCGTCGGAATACAAGATAAAAATAAGTTAATTTGATTATATGACATCCTTTGCTTTTTTTCGCGAATTTTCTTGAAAAATTTGCTCTTTAGAATTAACAGCGAGTCTTGTGCAATTTATAATAATTTTTTAAATGAAGAGATATACCTCGTTATTCGCGTTGCGTTTAGTGGACGAGACTGAAGATGCACGACACGATCGCTCGATGGTACAATTAAAACCCTTACACGAATCTACAATTCGCACTACACATTTTTGCGCTCGTGGACAGATCCAACCGTAGCAATATTTACTGATTAGCTCGTCTTCTATGAAAAGAATTATATCGGGTCATTATTGTTGCAAATGCATGAGCATAGTTTTATCATTTTATCATCAACGAACCGATGGTGAGCGTACAATCAGGCGTATGTGTGCACAACGGATTGCGACAATTGTTTTCTGGCCTTCGCAAGAAACACTCGTATTCCGAGGCGCAGTTCAAACTTTTGCATTGGTCGAACCAAGTTTGTACATCTGAAAACAATGATTTATTTTCATTATATACAAATTTAACAATTTTCTAACAAGGCAATTTAAGTCGAATATATCTTTAAAAAAATATATATATATTAAATGTTACTAATAATTAATATTAACATTTAATATTAATTAATAACACTAGTTTACAAAGTTATATACAAGAATATATTCGATCTAGTGGAACTTTTCTGATGGCAGATTCAAACTCATTGCTCTAAAACGTGCTTAAAAATATTATTTCCTTTTTTGCATTAAAAATTATTCAAAATTCATAAGCTAGTGTAATTAATAATTCATATTTTAAATACATGATATATATTTAAACAATTTTAAAAAGTTTATGAAAAATTACGTGAAAGTATGATTGAGAATTAATTAAATTAATTATTCTTTTGCTTAATGTGACCTTCTTCATTTTCGCAACTTTTGATCAGTTTGCACGGTGGACTAACGCAGAAGATTTCTCGCAAGATGCAACGTTTTCCTGACGGACATTCGAAACCGGCGCAGGAAGCTGCACCCTCGTAATATTCTTTTTCCAATACGCAGCGTGCTAATTGTTGCTTACACTCTGAGAAAATTTTGAAAAAAAAAGATCTATATATTATCTGCATTTCTAGAAATATAATTAATCCGTTAGTACGCGATAATTACTTCCACCCCAATGACATCCCCGAACTTTGATGATGCACACGTGTCCTCTGTTGCAACGAACAGTATCGCACGTTAGAGGTCCCTTCAAGGATTCTAAAAAGAGGCAGACTTAAAAAATCTACACTTACTATATATAATACTGCGTGAAATATTTTAAATTAATTAAATGTAAAAAAGATATAAAGAAATACAGAAGAAATCGTAATAGATATTGAAGTCTAAAATAGGCAAATTTCTATCTGACGCAAGACAAAGCGGTTTATCTTCTCGAACTTCACCTCTTCTCGATTTAGAACAATACAACATGCCAGGGCAAGGAGGATCCTTGCACCAAAATCTTCGTTTTACGCAACGGCTACCATTCTCACAATGTAGATGAGCGCATCCTTTCGAATAATCGTTTCCTGATTCTCCTGTCGTAAATGATTAGAATTTTTGAAAAAGCGAAGTATATAAAGTTTTATAGAATTTGGGATTAAACTTACCATTCGCGAAAAGTCTTTCGGAAAGCAGGAAGAGAAGAAGCCACATTAAACTGCAGATAAAAATGTGTTCGCGCCGCATGACGACAGCACCGATAGTACTCGCTTATTTCAATTGCGATGGTGCACCTGTGCCGATACAGCTATAGACATAATAGCGTGTAATGTAAGCGCGATTGTAACACGAGCCACTGCATGGAAAAGCGTATTGTCAATACAGCAGTTGTCGCTAACGTTACGCCTCGTTGAACAAGTCTATTGTCACGTTACACGGATCAAAGAAGAGACTTAAATCACGAATGTTCAATAAATTTTGCTTTATTTCTTGCATATTTATTTTTGAAAAGCTTGGGAATTTATACAGCGCAAATTCTCGCTGCTATCTCGTTGCGTTTCTCTTGTAAAATTATAGATAGATGTCTTCACTTCGCGGAAACTTGCTTCTTCGATGACACGTATGTCATTTTAACATGATTTATTAAAGAAACAAGATACTATATGCAGCCTGATCAAGTTACAAAACACACTGTGCTTTGACTTATTGACGTTAGTTAATGCACGTGGAAACAATATTTTGCATAGTTATTAAACAATAATTAGAAATAATAATGAATTGATGATTCATTCTCCTAAATATTTTTAAATGATAAGAACAGAAAAAATAATGGTATCTTGTCAACGTTAAATTGTTAAGCAATCTGTGTGTTTAAAAATAAAAAAAGTATTGTGTTTAAAATACAATCATCATAGAAAAATATCAAGTATCTATTGTTTTTTTAAAAGTTGTTTTAGCATTTGTTTTTTTGTTTATGTTCGCGCGATCAATATTGTACTACGTGGCTCAGTACGCGCACGCACGTAGGCTTACGATCAATGACTATCTAAGTATTTTTTTTCACCTTCTGAAAAAGTCTCGTGTTACCATTTTCTCAAATGCATTTGAATTGTTGTAGTCCCTCTTTGTCGGACTGCAAATAAATTAAATTCTATCATTTTGAACAAAACGATGCTTTATTTATACGCGACACTATTGACGCGCTCGCATGTTATTTTTTAGTTTCTGCTTCAACATTATCAATTTATATTTAATTAGATGTTGTGAACATAGATAAAGTATTATAATTTTCTATATAAATTTAGTTTTAAAAAGTTTGCATTAAATTTAAAACGTTCTTAAGATTAATGACGTAAAACCTCAGCTTACATACTTATTATCTCAAGCTATTATATCACACGCTTAGTTTTATCGCAATATTGCGGCACATATCAACAACATATAGTTCACAGATAAGAATTATATATATAATATATATTTGTATATATAATACATAATTAGATTTCTAATATAAAATTAATGTTATAAATCTTGTAAAATTAAATCAAAACGTAGTTTTTAATATTAAAAAGTTTCTTTGTATATCATTGCAAAGAATCAACGACAGCCTCGATTTTACATGGAAATTCGTCTACACGTCGATTAACTATAACTTAATTTTCTTTTGACGGCCTTGTATCCACGTTTTTCAATTGCAGCTGCAACAGTCCAGCGAGCGTGCTGGTGAAACCAGCGTTGTAATCCAGTGTGACTTCTGTATAGGCGTATTCCTCGCGACAGTCTTTAAATAGGTCCACCTCGTCTGGTCCGGAGACTAGAGCACCATAAAGGATCTGCGGATTTGGGGCATTTTTGCTAAATTCCTGCCATCCGCAGGATGTCGGTCTATTGGGGCAAGAAGAGGCAGCATGGTGCGGTTGTTTCGGTGAATTTTTACCGTATCCGACTACGTAACTTCTTCCTGCAAGAAAAACATAAGTTCAATGATGAAAATAAAAAAAAAAAGATAAGCTTCCATTCAAAAATTTGTTATCGTTATTGTACATTTATTGACTGCCAAATGTTTAGATTTGATTTATATTTAACAATATAAAAATTTTTAATCGCGATGACAATAATTAATAATGAGTTAATGATATAAAAAATAAAAATGAAGAAATAGAAATTCCATAATGAATAAAATAAGCCGTCGCAACTAAATGGATGAATTTTTATCTTTTTTAGATATTTTTGAGTGAAACTCAGGTCTTACCGGCTCCACCCAGCATGTAATCAATTTGTTCTTTGGCGAATCGGCGATATTCCTGCGATTCGCCGATTTCCGGGAAGTCCGCTGCTACGAGGCAAACAAAGGCGACATTAGCAGCATGAGAAAGAGTACCGGACTTATCGATAAACAAAAGGCCTTTTGGTGTGCGTTTCTGCTGTCGTACCGAGAAGTCGCAGAATGCGCGGGCGGCATTCTGGTACTCGGACTGTCCCGTCAATTCAGCCAACAGTACCTACAAAAAGCGAAAAAAAATATATTCTTAGGTGAAAATATCAGAAGAGAACAAGATATCACTACTTAGTGAATTATTTTCAACTTTCCTTACTTTAAAGCCAAATTCGTCGGAGAATGACAACTCTTTCGCAACAAATAAATTACATTTATTAATATAGATTACTAGAATAAAATAATAGAATAGAATAGTTTATTTCAGCGTATAATTTCAGCGTATAATATAGCCAAGAAGGGGACTTGATTTATAATTTTCGTCTCCTCACTTATTCATCCATACCTTCTTCGCGTATCTTCTTTAATTATCCATTTATTTACCTAATCTTTAAATTCACTTATCTATAGTTTCCTCTCCTTTACCTTAGCTTACTATGTTTTCCTTTTTCTGCTCCTACTTATTCACAGCCTTATTCTTATAGCCATTTTTTACTTTCTCGCCTCTCCCCCTGCCTTCTTTACTTATTTAGACCTCCTATCTGCTATGAACTTAATTCTTTATCCTTTTTTCTCTTTCTTCTCAATATCATCTTTCTACCTTTCCACAATTTCTTTATGACTCTATACCTTTAATATCATTCAGTTCTCCCCCCCCCCCTCCATAGCTCCATAGCTTATATCTATAATCTCTCCCTTTTCTTCTCCTATATAGTTCATCGAACCTACCTCTCATCTCCTAACATTCCTTTATGTAGTGTTCTATATTATCTTTACCTTTTCCGCAGAATATATCTCTCTTCTCCATCGTCTTCCCCTATAACTAATATTTATTAGGCCCTGTTGCACCAACATTATTTTGACTTTTTAAGCAAAATTTACAAACTCTCTCTGTCTCATTTTAAAGCGAAAGACAGACAGAGACAAGCCTTAGCCTTTTCCATATTTCCGCATCTCAATTTTACTAATGTGCTCTTATCTCTTTCCCTTTTCTTATTACCTTTAAATTTTCTTCACGGAGAAAAAGGTACAGTATTATACATTAGAATTCTAGTAAACTTTATGGAATTATTAAGTTCGTATAGGGATACGTGCCTACTTATGTAAAATTTTCTTTACATTTCTGGTAAATGAGATTGTCGTATGATAATCATTCTTACTTTATTGACAACAATTTTTTCTTTAGCATTGACAAAATTTACTTTACTGCATAGTAAAATATATATATGTATAAAAGTTATGAGAGTTGTTTGTGCTCGTCAATCTTGAAAATAGTACGATTTACTTTACTGCATAATTTACTTTACTGAAAGTAATTTATCTTACTGTAAGATAATAGTCACTTGAATTAATGTACTATAATCATAATGTACTTTTTATCTAAATCTCCGATATTTTTACTTTTAGACAAATAAAATTTATCACAAATTCGGTAAAAAATAGCCAAAATATTTTTACTAGTCTTGTAAGATATCCATCTCTAAATTATTTTTCTCCATGTTCCTTTAGATACATCGGTACCTTTTTAATGCTTATCTTTTAGTTTTAGAATAAAATAATATATATATAAATAAGAAATTTCACCTGGATACCAGCGACTTTCTTATTGTAGAAGAATGCGTTCGGCCGCTCCTTCAGATGGAAGTGCTGGTAATGATGTACTGCGTCGTCGAAGTACTTCGTGTCTCCGGTCGCCTTGAAAAGCCAAATTGCGGCCCATGCTAGTTCGTCGCCATAGTCCGTGCTTTCGTAGTAACGTTCGGCACCGCGTATCGCTTCGTGATAAAGACCGCGATAAACGTCAGCGAATTTGTACAAGTTCTTCGCGTGCTCGAGACACTTGGCACTATACTCAGAATCGACACTGCTGAAGACGATGCTCGAAGCCGCGAGAGCGGCAGCCGTTTCACTGGCGAGATCAGAACCTGATAATAGTAGTAAATAGAATATATTATAAGATTGCAATATACAATAAATATAATAAATGTAATAAATGTGAAAAGATAATTTCAGAGTGTCAAAAAAATAAAAAAAATGATTTTCTCATAAATAGATACTCTATAATAAAAATTAAAGGCAATAATATATTGTAATGTATTTTTTTTTGTTTTTCTATTTATCTCCTGATAAGTCAACAAATTATTTGAAAAGAAAAGTATCGACACTACCAGGATGTTCCGCATCGATCTTGTAGGTTGGTCTAGTAGTGTTCAGCTCCTCGGGTCTTCCCCAAAACATATGATCGATGGGAAAATCACCCACTTGTCCGTACAACACGTTTTCGCTTACGTGACACTTGATAAAATAATCGGTGGACCATTTGATAGCTCTACGAATTTCGTCCAGTTGACCGGCGGCGTCATAAGCCTCCGGCCAGTTAACCGTTCCCCAAGCCAAAAGTGTCGTTGTAAAAGCCATCGTAAAGCCAAATTTGACGAAGTCACCAGCTGGTAGAATAAGAATAATTAATTTTGCAAAATGGATTATACATTTTTTTCATTTTAAAGAGAGATTTCATCTTGATATATTTCTTTCTAGAGATTTAAATAACTGTATCATAAACTTATCGAATTATGTAGTGATTGAAAACGTAACTGGCTTATTACCATCGTAGTATCCTCCGGTTAAATCCTCGCCATTCGAGCCGCGATCGTACAACGCGGAATCGCCTCGCCATGAGATTCTGTTGTTCTTCGGCAGCTTACCAGAACGCTGTGCTTCGTAAAACAATAATGAAAGCTCGAGGACTTGAGCGTAATCGTTTCCATTCTCGATTGCCTTCGCGTCTTCTGTCGGGACAGCGTTTATCTCGCACGT